TGACAGGTTTCAGAGTAGCAGCCGTGTTAGTCTGTATCCGCAAAAAGAACAGGAGTACTTGTGGCACCTTAGAGACTAACAAATTTATTAGACCATAAGCTTTCGTGGACTACAGCCCACTTATGCATCCGAAGAAGTGGGCTGTAGTCCACGAAAGCTTATGCTCTAATAAATTTGTTAGTCTCTAAGGTGCCACAAGTACTCCTGTTCTTTTTATAGTTTTTGAGGAATTCAAGTATATATTTTGGACTGATTACTCTTCTCTACATAATCTTAATTTTCATGGAGTAAATTCCATCTTTTCTGTTATATTAAGGCTTCTAGAGAGAGTTAAGTATTATGCTTGTTTCATATGTGGCTTCTCTGAAGGTCCAGGCATCTTATCTTCCATTTGGAAATGCCCAGTAAAGTGGCTGAGGTCTGAACATCTGTCTGCACTGCAGTTTAAAGACCTGTGTCTGGCCTAGGTCAGTTGGCTCAGGCTCATGGGGCTATAAAACTGAAGTGTAAATGTCTGGCCTTGGGCTGGGACCCTGTGAGAGGGTAGGGTCCCAGGCTCCAGCCTGAGGCCGGACATCTTCAGTGCAGTTTTATAGCCCTACGGCCCAAGCCCCATGAACCAAGTCAGCTGATTCATACCCACTGTGGGTGTTTAATTGCAATGTAGACATACTCTGAGAGGTCCATCTTGGACAGCAATACCTTGAGTTATTAGTCATTATTTCAGCACCGGAGGTACATTTGAAGAGTTGACAGTTGCTCCTTACAGAGTCCCACTTCTTTCCTACTGGTGTAGGAAAAATGCTGAAAGGATATTAGCAATTTTAAACTTTGCAGGTTCATAGTAAGAACTATTTCAGTGCCACCTACTATTGTAGCTAATCCTCTAGAGGAGTGGGTGGGAATGGAATATTGGAGTTCTGAAGGGCAAGCATTTAGAAATCACAAAAACACATTTAAAATTTAATTTTGAGAATTTTCTTGTACCTAAAGAAGTCTTTTTGACAGAAGTATAATACATGGCCTTTTGGCTCTACAAATTCCAGTATTAATGAAAGCAGTTGATTTTCTTAAAGATTTTCTTCACAAACTGTAAATACATTAATTTGTATAACATCAATATATTCATAAATGTCTAAAATACTGTAGGACACTTATAGGGAGGTTTTGCAAATAGAAAATGTACTTTAAGCAGTTAGTGTGCTTTGAGAAGGAAGAAGTTTTTAAGGTTCTGGTTTCATTCTGTGTAAAGTGGTTGAATAATCTGAAATTACATTATATTGCAACACTAAGAAAACTGCCTTATTTATATAAGTGTACAACTTGTTGTCAGACACCCCTATATGGAGTGCAGGACAGGTACAAAAATAGCAAGTAAGACATTAGTTCAAAACATGCTACAGTGTTAAGTATGGGTATAGTAATAGTACCAGACGGGGTTTTTCTGTTTTTTAGTTCTCTCATTTTTGTTTGTTTGAGAAGAGTGTTATCAAAGTTCTACTGAAAGTTTTGAGTTTCTCAAATGGCATTTTAATTAAAATGATGGTTGTGTTTACTTGTTGAACACTCATTCTTGCAGTTTACTTCTTAAATAACATTTATTCGTGGACATTTGCAATAGGTCATAATACATTTCCAAATGTGTGTTGAATTGGTTTTCTGGGACAGAGTCTAAACTCTAAATACTTCTCAAAATACACATTAATCCATCAGCTCACAGTATTTGGAAACGCCATGATGGACTACCAAATGTTTATTTGCAAAAGCCGCTCCTCTTACAGTTCTGTGGGTACATGCCCAGTTCAAATACACACCTATATGTATTTTTAAATGTACAAATAGAAATAAATTAAAAATAATTAACTCAAAAGGGAAACAAACAAAAACCCCACATCACATCAGTCTGCCTGGAAGGTCAGCAAACTAGGCTTTTGTTGGAGCAGCAGGGAAGCAAATTCCAGAGCTGAGTACCCTCCTGCAGAGTTCAGAAGTAACCAAAACAGCCCAGTAGACTGGAATAGTGTATGGAGACATGTATTATGGGTAGCCACAACACAAAACATGTAGGGCTTTTATGTAAAAAACAGTTTGTATTGTTCCAGAAAATAAATTGTTCAGTGTAGTCTATGGAGCCACAGGTGTTATATGCTCTCCATATATCGAATATCACTAAGGGCTTTTCTACACTACCGCTTGCGTCCATGTAACTTACATCGCCACCCCTTTGAGTGACGTTAGTTACGTCGACTTTAAGTGGTGTCTGTCCTGAGCTATGTCAACAGGAGATGCTCTCCTACCTACCTCTTGTTGAGGTGGAGTAATTTATGCTGATAAGAGCAGGGCTTTGGAGCGGAGCCCGGAGCTGGAGCTGAGCCGGAGCACAGCTCAAAAACCCTGGATAAGAGAGCACTCTCCTGTCAGCATAGCACATCTTCACCAGATAGGCTACAATGGCACAGCCGCACCAATGTAGCGAGGTAGTGTAAAATAGCCCTAAGTGAGCTGCTGCATTTCATGTTAGCTGAAATTTTGAAGTGATAAAGAGTAGTCTCAGATGGGGCATGCTGCAGTAGCCAGATCTGAAGATAATAAAGAGATCAATAATAGACAAGATCTGCATTTGAGAAGAAAGAAAGTAGCTTCCAATCTGATGCTGGATAAGTGAAGGAGGAGAGAGAACTTCTGGCTACTGCCTAGAAAATATTACAAGGCATGTCAAATACATGAAAACCATGCTAGAGCAAAACCTTTACATGTGAACTGCAGAGTTTGTTTAAAAACAAATAACCCCTATCAGTTATTTACATGATGCCTAAAGAAGAAAAAGTTACATAGTTTTCTGATCGTGTAAATGGAGAATGGAACTCTGGTATTAAACTTGAATTCTTAGCTGATTGGCTTCTGCCTCAAGTGATGGGTGGAGAAGGAAGGAGAGAAACGTACTTTGGGGGGGGGAGTTTGATTCACTAAGGCCATTTAGGAACTTACCCGCTGCTCACTGAAAAGTGAATCCCCACCCTGTTGTTTTCAGTGAAATATTTGTAAAGAGCATGATTTAGTTAATACTGTGAAACTAAAATTCAACTTTATATATTTTTGTAGTTGGTTTGGATGCTGCTGGTAAGACAACTATTCTGTATAAACTGAAGCTAGGAGAAATTGTCACCACAATTCCCACTATTGGTAAGAAAACTAATGATTGCTTCTTATCTAATTACTAATGTTAAATGTAATTAAACTACAGAATCATTCACTTTAAAATCCTCAATTCTCCTGAGGGAGTAAAGACTTAAATGTTTTTCATTGTAGGACATTTGTTTCAAGAGCTGGTTGGTGGGGTAGTAGGAGATGCATGTTCCCCAGAATAGAAGTTAGTATAGAGTTGGACTCTTAGAGAAATTATCATTTTACGCAATTTGGTACTATCATGACAAAGATATCACATGACAGCTCATCTAGCGTTCTTTAGAAAGTGAAACTTTGAAGTCACTATTTTTAAGAGGACAGTTGACAGATTTATAATAACTTTTACATAGTCAATGTCAATATTTAACCACTTTTTTCTTTCTTTTTAGGTTTTAATGTGGAAACAGTAGAATATAAAAACATTTGTTTCACAGTTTGGGATGTTGGTGGTCAAGATAAAATTAGACCTCTTTGGAGGCATTACTTTCAAAACACACAGGTAGGCGTTCTTCTGTTTTACAAGTTTAAAAAAAAATGCATCTACATTCATATTTAAATGAAGAGCACTGTGTACAGTATCTCCAGAAAATGGTCTGCCTCCATTTCCATTTTCTTCTCATGAGTTGGTCCCCACCATATTTGCTGGAATTCTGAGGATCCTTGGCTTTTTTTGTTTCTGTTTAGCTGTGTTTTTTTCCTTCCCATCTGGACAGCTTCATGTCTTTTATGCTGTGTCTACACTACAGACTTTTGCCATCATAGCATCCAGTCAGTCAGGGATGTGAAGAGGTGTGATTTTTTTTCCCCCAGTGTATATACAATTATACCAGCAAAACTGTGCTTTTACCAAATATTTGTTTTTTCTCTAAGGGACAGTGGTGAAGGGGGAATTGTAATTTTACTATGCCAGTGCAAGAGCAGTTTTGCTGGTATAGTTGTATCCACACTAGGCTTTATCTGTGTTAGGAGCACTTTGCTGGTGCAGTATACTTTATATGCCAATATCAGTAAAGTACTCCTAGTGTAGACATAGCTTATTATAGTTTGACTTGGATAGACAGGATTCCCATGAGAGACCTTCCAGTGTTGCCGCTCCTTAATGTGCCAGAGGGGTCACTAAGCTATGTGATGGACTTTCTAGCCTCATTAAATTTGATGCTTTGTCTGCTAACCTCCTGAAACTGGAGAGGGACTTCAAGTAAAGAAGTAAGTTAATACCTAGCTGCCTTTGTAGGTATTTTTCTTTTTAACCAAACTGAAGACACACAAGATAGATTTTTACTTAGAGTAAACTAAATATATATATATAAAAATAATATTCACATGCACATATACATCATGGTTAAATACAAGTTATATTTATTGGGCTCCCTTTGCTTATGAAGTGTTTAGAAATGTTACTGAATACCGTTAATCGGGGTGGTATTGCTGGTTGTTTGATCCGGGCCATGACACGTTCACTGCTTCGGTCATCGCTGCAGGTGATTACAATGTGCTTTTTGGGTAATTAGTAGACAGACAAGTAATTCATCACATTTCTATACACCCCAGCAGCAGAGGAGATTCATGCTTGTTGCTCTGCTTTGTGCAGGATTGTTGCCAGGAAACTTCCTCTGCAGTAGCACAGGCATGATTCTGGGGCATGTGCAAATAGGAGTGTGTGGTGGAATGTGCCTAGACAAAGGGACTGGCACAGTAGTCTAGTGACTGCATATACGTTGAGGACCAAAAATGTTACCCTACTGACCTCTTCAGACCTATTATAAAAGCATCACCAGGGACCTTCAAAGGGGGAGAATCTGCTTCTTCAGAGGAGAGTATGCTGAACTGTAAGACTTTCAGGTGGGGATTTAGGCAGTATGGAATAAGCTCTTGGATATTTCTCGTTTAATGTCAGAAATGGTGTTAGGAACACTTGGTAAAAACACATTTCTAAAAATTAAATTCAACTTAACAGGTTGAGAACCCTCAGCTTTATAGGGTGGAGGACATCTTACATTATCTAGACACTATTATCTCTAGCTGTCTTTGATGCAATGGGACATCTGAAAATAAGGGAAACTATCACAATTCGGCCAGTTATCTTTCCCTGAAATTCTGATATGCAGACCACAGTGTGGGAATCTTAGCCTTGTTTGTGGGGTTTTTTGTTTGTTTTTGTTTTTTAAAACCTAACATACACTGAAAATTATGTTAATGTCATGTCTACTGATAACCTAGCTGTCTGAAGAATGTCTACCTCATGTAGTCAATGATCTTTCTCTGTGTATATGTTAATTAAAATATTACTAATTTTTCAAACTTGCATTTCTTGGAGGGGAAGCAGCGAGAACTGTACTCCTACCCAATAATTCATGTCATCTTTTTCTTAGAACACTACTTTATGCTTAAATTTTATGGGGACTTATCAAAGCTGCTTAACTTTTTTTGCAGGGTCTCATTTTTGTGGTAGATAGCAATGACAGAGAGAGAATTCAGGAAGCAGCAGAAGAACTGCAGAAAATGGTAAATATAAATATCTTTGGAACAGAATTGCTATCTTCTGTATTTACTTTACCAAATCAGCTTTTCTGCAAATGGTGAATATGCCAGTTTTGCTGAAATTTCAAAACCCATAAACCTTCAGAAAGTCTTAAAACGTGTATTGTAGACCTCCTTTTTTATATAATTCATCACTACTTACCTAAAATTGTTTAGAATGTGAGTGGACTCTAGGTCGAGAACTACTAATGACTTCACCCAATTCCCTTTGGGATGTAAAACCCAAAAGAAATGTAATCTGTCGACAGTGAGCTGTCTATACAATTTAAATCCAAACTGCTGTTTGAAATAATGTTGCTTTACCTACACTAGTGGAATTTGTATCATGGGTACTTGATAATCTCAATCAAAAGCTACTCACTGATTTGGGGAGTGAGAATGAAAAAGCTTACAGCACTTTACCCTTTATTTCATAATTGCATCTCTTTAGCTGCTTGTTACAGTAATTAAATGGAAAAATAACTAGCATGGTCTCTTTCTCTGTTAGCTTCAGGAAGATGAGTTGCGAGATGCAGTGCTACTGCTTTTTGCGAACAAACAAGACTTGCCAAATGCCATGGCAATCAGTGAAATGACAGATAAACTAGGTCTTCAGTCTCTGCGTAACAGAACTGTAAGTACTAAAGTTTTGGTCCAATTTTTTGTAAGCAAATGTACTCTCCCTTTAAGTTTTAAGCTTTCATCTCTTTTCTGTGGAAAGATGTAATGTGTATTTGACCTGTACAAAGTGTTATTTCTACAAAAGAGTGACCTAAAACATACACACTTGTGTAATAAAAATAGGTGATCAAGAGCAAATGCTTCATTTTATTACTCCTTTTTTTTAAATGGGAAGATACAACCTTTGCAGACCATTGAATATCTTGGGCCACATTTTAAGTGTGTGTGTTGCTTTTACTCTTCTGTTTTCTCTTTTGAAGAAAGAGACTGAGAATGGAATTGTGTCCAAGAGTTTTGATTAAAACAATCTATGATTAAAAATGCCCGACAGGATAAGGGAGGCTTCAACTACACAAAACTTTTGTTGGGGTAACTTTTGTTATATAATTCCTCATTGCATATTTTTTTTTGGGGTGGGGGGCATCACTTTACCTCTTCATGTTGACAGTCGTGGCTTATGTCATTATGAACTCTTCTTAAAAAGAGACGGGTTAAATCATGTAGTAAAAATTCCTTACCTATGAGCTCAATAGCACCTGATTTAAAACAAAATTTTAATTTACAGTTCTTTACACTCTATTCATCTTCAGTTTCACTTTGATTCTTGTGCACTAATATAATGTCAGTATTTGGGTGACAGACATAGCAGGAGAATCTTCAAAACCCAATTGCTAATTGAAACTTAAAATTTTTCTTGACAATATCTTCTGTTACTGTTAGGCTTTGTGGTGGTGGGAAATAAGTTTTGAAAAACATACTTGTTGGGATCAAACTACATGAAATTGTACCATAAGAATTACACCCTGGTAGTATGTAGAAATTCAGTATTTTAAAGTTCACATTTCATTTTATTTTATATTTTGTTCCTTAACAGTGGTATGTCCAAGCGACCTGCGCTACACAAGGAACTGGTCTGTATGAGGGACTTGACTGGCTGTCAAATGAGCTCTCAAAACGCTAACTCAAACTGGATGACTTTCTCACCAGGGACATGTTTGATATAAGTGGTCTAGGCTTGTTACAACAAAATTAGTTTGCATCTTGGTTATTAAACAGTATCTGGAACGGGTTTGGGCAGGATATTACAGCGTTTCAACTTATTTTGTTGCCAATTATTGTTTACCAAGCTATATGTTGCAGAAGTAGCAATGTGCTTGGGTTTAAAAAAAACAAACTCCTTAACTTGGAAAAAAGTGTATCTTCTGATTTTTACTTCCCTTGTTATGTTAAATGCCTGAATATAGTTATTGTGACACCTTTAAAATCGGTTTTGAATACTTTTTGAGCCCCAATAAATTAAGTAATGTTTTTTAAAGATTTCCCCCCTGCTACTTTAGTTTACTGATACCTTATTATTTCATTCCTCAGACAGTCTGCTGATTTAAAAATGTAGCATTCCATTTATATTTATTTCTCTCCCTTGCCAAAAAAGACTTGTTCCAGCCAAAAAAATGCTCTAAAACACTATTCAAATCTACTGCACTGAGGAACATTTTATTAACCTTGGGTTCCATCAGCCCAACTTGCCTTTGTGTGAATTGGATTTGATGGGTAGCATAGTTCTGTGCTGGTTGCAAAGAGCTCATGTTGAGGTGGTTTTTAATATTCAGCAGATTGTCTTCCTTTATATTGTATCTCTTTATGTTGCATGTTGCTTTTTGGTATCAGCCTGAATGTTTTCGCCCAGTGTATAATAGTTCTGCTGAAGTTTTACTGTTTGTTGGTGAACATATCTTCATAAAGAGAAATTTTGGAAAAATCATCAAACTCAATGGATTAGTTTCTTCATAACCCACTTGGAATTATTCCTAATAAAATTATAAAATGTATAGTTTTGTGTATGCTCTTATTGAATTTTAAATTTGTGAAACTGATACGAACATTTGACACTTATTCTTTTTCCATAAATTGAGTTGTTCTGTAGTTTGTGAACACAAATCTGATTTTCAATTTTTGAGGGAGGGTCCCTGAAGATGGGCAGGTAACTTGTATACAGTGCAGTAGGTAATCATCATCAAGACTTAAATAATTCTGTACAAGTGTCTTTTGAAGCTGTAAATCTAAAAATCCTTTTAAGATGTTCAGATATGAAAATACTAACCATTACAATTGTAATAAAAACAAATACAAACTGCCCAAAAAGCATGCATGTCTGTTTCATAGTTATATGTACAATATGGGTTGCAGTAGCAAAGCAACAAATGAGTTCTGGTGGTTCCTGCATGAAAACTTGACCATCTTTAGCAGTGGTTCCCAAACTGGGGTTTGTGAAATGTTACAGGGGGTTCTTGGGGGGGTGGGATCCCTAATGGCGGACAGAGCTATCCCTAGGAACCCCGGGCAGCACGGGGCCAGCAGCCCGGAGCGCCTGGACTTCCAAGAGCTAAGCAGATCAAAGCAAGCATATCTATCACACTGGGGAGGTTTAAACTTCAATACTCCTTATAAGAAATTGAAAGGGAAATGGATATTTTTTTTGCTGTCTTTAAAATAAAATAGGGAGCTAGTGTTTTTTAAAATTATTATGAAGAACAACTTAGCTTTGTTGTAACATGTGGTGTTTGCCTGGACTGCTCAGGACCTGAATGCTTGTGTAGGAGGAACTCTTTGAGTTGACTTCTTAAATACCTTCCTGCTGTTTCACATCTGATACTCCTTGAAACATAGAAACCTTGTCTTATAACAGGCTTATTCAACGTGATACAAGCTACAAAAGTGAGATCTTGGAAGTGTGTTGCCATTTTCATAATGTAATAAAAATATTGTAATGATAAATAATAATAGTGTGTAATAAGCATGTCATAAAAACAAATTGTTTTATTCCCAGGGCCGCCCAGGGGGGCAAGTGGGGCAATTTGATGGTGGGATGGAAATTATTGAAATCATGGTGAAATTCCTCAAGGGCTTCTTTTCCATGGGTCCAGATGATGAAGATGTCATCAATGTAGCGCAAGTAGAGTAGGGGCGTTAGGGGACGAGAGCTAAGGAAGCGTTGTTCTAAGTCAGCCATAAAAATGTTGGCATATTGTGGGGCCATGCGGGTACCCATAGCAGTGCCGCTGACTTGAAGGTATATATTGTCCCCAAATGTGAAAGGGGACAGGAGAGTAGCTGATGTCCTTCTGGATTCTGCCAGAGGGGA